AAATATGTAGGGGCATTAGCATCGGGACTTGCTCCCTTAAAGACACACCACCACCTCGCCTTTGCAACGCTATCTAAACATTGAGTCATTTGTATAAGCTGTTTATTCTGACGGAGCGCAGATATTTCAGCTTTATCATGTCCATGACTCCTCTGCAATAACAATTTCAAATGTAATCGCAAATCACAATTGGGTCGGGTAATAGTTTGTGCAAACCCGCCTACTTCAAATCCAAGAACGCTCCAAATTGGGAAGAAGTTTATGAAATCTGCACTGGCGATGTCTGAGCAGGGGGTGTGACACATGTGGTTTCCCACAGTAGCCACCGTCCCTCTGTTTACATTCCCGCAGGGCGGGGAGGGCTGCATTCCTCGCCCCCCCACTCATCGGGGAGGTGCACAGATAGCACACACGAGGATCCGCTCCAGTCTGTAGGAACTGCCACTTCTTTTTTAATGCAACATACGCATTCTTTGGTCTTGTCCTGGGCTGCAAAGGTCATCGTCTTCCCACATACACCCATGTCCGAGGTTCCTGCTCCCAGCACCCCCGGATGTCCACGAGCACCTAATTAGCACCGTTGGCGGTGTCCATCTGGTGGCATCCATCTAGAGCAATCCAGCCTTGCTTCAGTGCTATCAGGGCCACGAGATGCGTCCTTGGACTAGCAGAGGCCAGTGCTAATTACTTCTGTGGCCCTGTAGGCACTTTGGTGGACCCCTTTTCTACAGCAATCCAGGTCTGCTGAACCAGCTGCTGTTGCTGTAAATCAGCCTTCTGCAATTCAGCTACGGCAGATGCTAACCCATGAATCTGTTGGGCTGCTAATTGGCCAACTGATTGCAGCCTGGATTCTGATACCTGACAGTCTGTTATATTAAGGACGGCTCCTCCGAGACCTAACATTCCCGGTATGTCTGCTCACCTCCAGGGAACACATGACTTGGGGTAAAGAGCAGATAAGGGCCACGTACAGGTTTATACATACCTGCATTGCAGTCCCAGAAGATACGGCAGTCTCCTTCTTCCTCTGCATTTTCCCATGTAAAAAGAGCTGCAGTTAGACCTTCAAACACTGTGGGTTTAGTAGCATTAGCTTGTTCTCATTCCCAGTTGTACCCACTGTTGGTTTGGATCTGAAAAGATGTATGGCATATCATTACTCAAATACGTTTGGTCGTGTCTAGTGCATAGATTACAAAAATAACTCAAGAGATTACAGCTACTGCAGGAGTGGTTTAATGCTATCATAATTGGCCATCCCTCAGGGAATACTGATATTGTTGTGGTATCATTTGTCCAATGCCATGTGATACCACCTCTTACTCTTTGTCAGGTCCATATCCCCAGTTCTCTATCACCTGCACAGTGCAGGCGATAGATGTGACCTTGAGCCCCTACCAGCCATTGGGTGCCACTCACAGTTCTGTACCTGCTTAAACATGTAATTCCCACCACAGGTCCATTGTCCTAAATGATATTCATCAAAGAGAAAACATTATGCTGACACCCAACAGAGTCACAGAATGGTTGAGAATCGCTGGGACCTCTGGAGGTCTTCTGGTCCAACCCCATTGCTCAAGCAAGTCCACCCAGAGCTGCTTGTCCAGGACCATATCCAGAAGGCCTTTGAAAAGAATAGCTAGGTGTCAGAAACGGGATGCCAGGCAGCTGGCACTGTGAACATTGGTGTAATCTACAGGTCAGCATCAGATGCTGCTACAGGATAATGCAATGGGGAGATTTTACCAGGCAAGGCATCAATATTCACAGTCTGTAACACATACATATGTACATATATATATACATATTTGGTCAGCCCTGAAGTGGTCAAGCAGTTGGGTTTGATGACCTTTGTAGATGCCATCAAACTGAACTCAACTTTTCTCTCTTCTCTTCTCTTCTCTTCTCTTCTCTTCTCTTCTCTTCTCTTCTCTTCTCTTCTCTTCTCTTCTCTTCTCTTCTCTTCTCTTCTCTTCTCTTCTCTTCTCTTCTCTTCTCTTCTCTTCTCTTCTCTTCTCTTCTCTTCTCTTCTCTTCTCTTCTCTTCTCTTCTCAAATGAAACATTGTAAGACATATTTAGAGACATCAACAAACAGTTCCAAAATTAAAAATTACGCCCTTGGCCCTTGGGCTAGGACCTCCACAGGGAGCAGTTTGCCTGATGAAGTCAGGCATTAACAGGTGCCAAGATTCACTGCTCTTCATTTCCAGTCAAAAGTCTGGTTGGCACTTGTGGCCGTGCCTTAACAATAATTGGTGAGAAGTGTCAGGCTGGACCCTTCCTTACCTTACTATTCAGATTTATTAGCGTGTGTGTCAACACTGTTGGACATCTCTGCAAGGTGCGGGCAGGTTGAAAGACTTCACAATTGTTCTTTTAGCAATGCATTAGTACGCTCTGCTAAACCAGCTCCCCAAGGATAACAAGGTGTATGATAAATCCATGTAACCTTGTTTTCAGCGGACCATTTATCAAGTGAAGTGGGAACCATTATCTGATGGAACAGAAGTGGGAATACCTAACCATTGGCTTCACGAGCAAGGCCCTTTACGGTGGCTTTCTGGTCACCATCTGGCAGTATCTACCATCGCCAGCACATATTGCAAACCCTAACTTTTGGGGAATGGACCAATCTGCCAGGTACACCCCGGGGTCAGTCCTTACTCATTAATCCTTCCACAGGGCTATTGCGGCAGTTTTCTTGCTTTTATTAATTTGCAGGTTTAGATCAGCACTCTTTCTGCACTAAAGACGGGAAGCAGAGGATGCAATCATTTTGTCCATCACTCTAATTTACTTTCATAGTCTATTTTTCCCTTTTAGTTGCTTGCACATTTCCCGTAAATGAGAGGTAGGTTTTCCATCAATTTTGTCTTTTGGGACTCCAGTCTGGAATAAAGCAAAGAACATCTCCTTTTAGGTAACTTTTTTTTTTTTTTTTTTTTTTACAGCTTATCCACAATCTCCTGTCAAAATTTTCAGTGTGGTGTTCTCCTAATTGCCCCGGTGCTGGAATTACATCACGACTGATTCCCCCAGGGCAGCTCCCACAAGCAATATGATGACTCCCCTTTAGATTAAAAGGTGTCGCTGCTAACAATCAGGATTGTATTCCTGATGCAAATACCTCTAGGCTGGGGGCTAGTGAAGGTAGGGCTGTGGACACTGTTGAATGGCCAGTTGTCTCAAATGCTGTCCCCCCTCATCTAGATGCTTCCACACCACTACTTTATTGGCACAGTCATATGGGGAGTAAAGCACTGTAGCTTTGCTGCCTCCCATAACCAGTCCAAAAGAGAATAAGACACATTTCCCTGGGCTCCTTTTGAACACTGCAGCACCATTGGATTTGGGGAACCTGTGGGCAGAAGCATCACTTTCTTTATATCACATGTCCTTCTCCTCTAGATTTTGTGCCTACTACTGACCGGACTGAAGCTGAAACCAAAACGGTGGAGTAGCTTTCAGTTTCCACCAAGGGGAAACTGAAAATTTCCAAAATGCAACCAAAATGATCAGAGTTGCTCTAAATAAAATGCAGGGTCAATTTTTGCTTTCACAGACTGTTTTACTTATTCCCTGAAATGAAAGCATTAAGATCCTCTCATGGGGGGGGGGGGGGGGGGGGGGGGGGTGCGGGGCTGTAGTTTCCCCATGTAACAGCAATGTTAAAAAACTGCTTCGATTTGCTATTTGTCTTTTTAAGGGTGCCAGGTGGGTCCACTTGCCTGAGGAGTCCTGTGGCTACCCTGGTTCCGACACTCCTAGGACCTGGAGAAAAGCAGCCGAGCAGCCGTGTGGGACAGGTCTCAGAGGCTGCATGTGATCCCAGACCACTGCAACTCACAGTCCTATGGTTTCAGGCCATTCAAAGCCCTAAGCAAGCAGATACAAATACTTGAGTGGAGAACCAATGCTTTTGGTGTTTGTCCATCTCTAAGGCTCCTTGGAAACCCACTTTTGGAAAGCCTCCCATATCCTGCTTCCTCTTTGCCGAGGCATCTGATCCCTAATAGCTGCAGTCCTTCATGGCCAGTTTTCTGAACAGTTGGTGTTTTGCTGCCTTCACTTAGGATCCCCATTCAGCACTGAACTGGGGCAGGGCTGAGGGGAGAAAAGTATTTAAAGAGCAGCGCTGATTTCATGTGCACAGATGCAGTCCTCTATGGCACAATAAAAAAGGGAAAAAGTCTGCAGATATTCCCTTCTGTTTACCTAGCAATCCAGCAGTAGATTTCCCTTTGTGCCGCGTGTGATTTTTGCAGCCTTGCCTCCACACAGGAATGGCTTTTTCTTCTGTGGGAAAGGAAGCGTCCCCGTTGCACGCTGCAGGAGCCTGACTTTTTTTTTCCTGTGCTTGTTTTTGCATTCACCTCCCGCACGGCTCCCGGAGGCTCCATGCCTCACGATGGCAATCCTTTCAATGGCAGAGCAGAGGTACGAGCTAGCAGCGCTTCCCACGAGAGTCAGAAAATCACTGCTGGGGCTCGGGGGCTGCGAGGAGCTCTGCTGCACGCAGCCAGGCAGAAACCTGCCCATCCTTCCCATCGGGTGGCATGTGAATTACTGACGTGCCCGGAGAATGATTTACTCATCCAGCATCCTCCCTACTCCAGTTTGCAAAACGTCCATCAGCAGACTGCAAGCATCTCACGTTTATTTCTCCCGGCTTTGACTCCTTAATGAACGAGGTTCACCGGGAGGCACTGTGAAAATTCCACGTCTGAACTGGTATTTGTGATCGTGCTGGCACATTTCCTAAGGAACCCGAAATCATTTATGCTGCTTTATTGGCTACCTGCTGTAGCTAATTAACAACGTGAATTAGCAGGGAACAATCCCAAATCCAATTTCTGGGAAAGCACCTAGTTCACCTGTAATTTTCCCCGAGATTTCCAGGCACCGAATCACATGCACAGCGCAACGCGTACGATGCATACAATATGTGTGTGTGTGTGATGCACATGTAGAAACACAAAGCTAAGCATTATCACAGATAAGAGCTCGCTGACATTAATCCGCTTCAAATCGTTGTCCAAACTGCTTCAGAGTCAAGCATGCGTTCAGTGACCTTGCAGAGCACGCGGTTCCCCGGCTGACACCAGACGGAAACCTCCCGCAGTAAGCGAGGAATGCGGCCTTGCCAAAACAGACACGTGGGAAGGGTGGGTTAGAGGCGAACCCAAACAGCAAAGCCTGAAGAAAAGGACCACACGTACCACTTACTTCTTCCCGTGGAGTAATGGTAATCAGACTAATTGCCAGGTACCTGAGCGTGACATTGTGCCAGGGCTGCTCCCGAGGAAGGCCCCGCTTTTGGGGGAGCCATGAGGAGCAGCCCTGGACCCGCAGGGATGGGAGACCAGCATCAGGGGCACACGCAGAGGCTCGTGGCATCAGGAGGGAGCCCTGCAGTCCCCAAGGGGGACCTAAGGGAGGGCCGGGATGGTGGGAAGAGGTGACCAGTGTGACACGGTGCCGGGCAGACTCCGCATTGAAAGCGTCTCTGCCAGTTCCTTGGAAACGACCGAGGACTGAAAGCATCAAAGAAATAAAGCTGTTGCCAGCTGGAGGAACAATAGGCGAGCCGGAGCTATCTTTAGCCCAGGGGATTAAATTCAAATTGCAAATGCAAAGGCCTCCCTGCAAGAAAAGGCCTCGCTCAGCTCACCGTGCTACCCAGCGGCAGCGTGAGCGCCGAGCACAGCACAGCCCCGCAGCCCTGGCTCATCCCCTGCCCGAAGGAAGGAAGGAAGGAAGGAAAGAAGGAAAGAATGAATGAAGGAAGGAAGGACGATGATACCCCCCTCAGTCTGCAGGCAGGGGTTTTGAGTCCCCTTCACCCATTTTCAGCCTGCACTGAGGGCTGCGGAGCACCACGGACTGCTGAACGTGAAGGGCACAGCCAGCCCCAGGAGCACAGCCATGGCTTTGGTGCGCTCAGTGGACTCGCACTAAACCCAGCAAGGAGCTGGGGCACTCTGCCACCAAAAAAAAAAAAGCTGCTTTGAAGCTGGCTCCTGCAAATCTCAAACTGGAAAAAAAGCACCATGCTGTATCGAAGGAGCTGGAAGTTAGGGGCTGCAGGCACAGCAAGGAGAGAGCGCACACCGCTTTTGCCTGATAACTTGCCTAATGAATTGCAGGCTTCTAAGCTGATTTGTTCAGCTGGGGAAATCCCACAAACACCTCACACCCGAGTGCTCGGAAATTGGTTTAATAGCCTCAGCGCCCGTAATGAAACACCACCGTGGAGCAGAGGTCCCAGGTCTCACCTCCATGTGCGGCTGCGTGTTACGGAAACCAGCTTCCCCCTGCTTCCACCGAGCGCTTGGAGGAGTTTTTTAGAGTCACAATAAAGATTTTTAATGGCAGCGTAAATGATGGTTTCAGGAGATCAACTGTGCAGCCGGTCCAGCCAGGGCTATGCGCAAAGCCTGCCAGCAGTGCCGTGCGTTTTAACTCGGTGCTGCAGCCATCTGAGCTTTTATGTTTGTTATTTCATTTTTAAGCAGCCATTTAGCAGTATCTGGAGGGCATTCGCTCCTCTAATACTTAGCCTGAACGCACGTGAAAGGAAGGGCTTTAGCAAGCGACTGAGCTCTTTTAGGAAAAAGAAAAAAAATCCTGCTCCATCGCGGTAGCTGCTGGGGTGCTGGAGCTGGGGGAGAAGTCAGGGAGAGCTGCACCTTGGCCCCGGCTCTGCACGCTGCAGGGTACGAGGGGAGCCTGGCTGGATGCAGGATCCGTGCCGCAGCGGTGTGCGACAGCCTCCAACTGCTGCTGCCGCCCTTGGAGGGGTCAAGGCAGAAGTGCCGGCGCACGGGGGGTTAACGGTGAAGTTACAACTCCAGTTGTTAAAATTCACGAGGTGTAAAATACAAATTGCACGTGGTAGATGAGCCGTCTTTAAAGTTTATATCATGCTTTCTCCCCTAACCCCCCGTTCAAAGCGCTGCTGGCGCAAGCTAATGAGAGCGCACAGAAGGGGGAGGCGCAGCCTCCATGGGACGCAGATTACACGGGGGGCTCAGCCGGGTCCGTCCGGGCTGTGGTTACAGATATCTGGCTGCAGGGAGCCGGGGGAACCCTTGTCATACGTATGCACGTGCAGTCAGGTCAGAATTAACAGTTCGTGCTCACTTCTTCCTCTCTTCAGCCTCCTCGGTGTTAAAGGTATGAAGCACCGCCTTTGAAGTTCGTGCTCTTTTCTTTGATTATTCCCACCGCTCAGCTTAAGTCATTTTCCTATCAAAAACAACAAAACATTTTTAATAGTTCCCAATGCAGTAAAGGTTTTGTGCTTTTTTTTTTTTTTTTTTACAGCTAACTCCAATCCCATTTTTTACGGGCACCTTATGACTTGGCACACAAACACCTTCCAGAACCAAGCTGCCTGCGTTTTGGCTCGTGCTGTTCCTCCTCCCTCAATACCATTCCTCTCTCCGTCCTAGGGCAGTACGTGTAACAGGGGCAGGTATTCCCAGCCATGGGGAATCCCAAGCCCCATCTGCAAGGGTTTCTCCATGCCCTGGCTGACCCCCTGTGTTCTGGCCCAGGAGTCAGTCCCCGGGGGGATTTTACTTACATCGTTCTTTACCCACCCAAGGAAGAGCTAGGGATCAGAGATTCGCTACAGAAGAAAATATGTAAATACCCAGAGCAACTAGAATGAGCATCAGCTTATGCATAGCTGACTGAATTGAACACAAACAATGATGGAGAATAGGATGGGCTGGAAGAGGAAATTTAAATATTTATCCTAAACGCTCTTTCTTTGCATTTCTTGAAATAAATTATTCCCAGCAATTGCAGGCAGAGATTGTTGATTAATTCCAGCTAAGGCAGAGAGACGGGAGAAATTGCTGTACATCATGTTTCTGAGTTTCAAATGGGGCTTTTCATTTTTCTTTGTAGTCTTCATGATTGGGCTTTTTGGCTCCAGAGTGATCTGTGGGTGGTTTTGCAGGGAGTTTGGCTGCTTGCGTCACGTGGGCAGATACAGACAGCGAAGCACCGTCACACGTAGCGGGTGAGGAGGATTATCTTTCTGTCCAGAAGGGTTGAAACACGGGCTCTGACCTGGCCAGGAGGTGCCAGGGCGAGCAGCACAGATGCCCTGAAGATTGCGGGGAGGGACCCATGCCGGGGCCACCCGCACCCGCATCCCTCTCAGCTGCTGGCAAAAGCAGCGAGCGCCAGAGGAGAGGCTGAAAGGAGGCTGCTGTCACAGCTGGTTGAGCCCCGGCTGACAGAAAAGCCCCGGGGCCACTGGCAGTCGGGCATAAATTAGAGCAGCAGTGAAGCTGCTTTCGTTTATCCGTGGGCACCGGTCCAGCCCCAGCTGCTTCAGCAGCGGAGGAAGGTCTCACAGCAGCCCGTCCCGCCTCAGCCTTCCCCTCCCCGGGCTGAAATGGGTCCAGCTGTCCTATGATAGCAAACCATGACCTGGCAGGGCTGGTATCCCGTTGGTTTTGGGGAGGCTGCAGCATCTCAGCAGGTCTCAGACGGAGGGGACATCCCATGCCTCAGGACTGGGAGCTGAGCCTTGCGTGCCCCCTGAATCTCTGCGAGCAGCTGTGCTGCAACTCACATTAAGAAAGAATGCAATGGCTAAAAAAAAAAAAAAAAATAGGGCTATGATAATGGCTAATCCCCCTCAACCCCAAAGAAATCCTTCTCTGGGGTCTCATGTGGCTGCTCCCTCCATGTCCCCGAGCCCACCGCCCCATGCCCGCAGCACAGCAGCCACGCTCGGGGGCACTCAGCCAAGGCACCAGGCAGCTGGTGTGTGCTTTCCCCACTCCCTCTGCAAGGGGATTTTCTCACGTGCTGGCCCAAGCCTGAGCCCAAATCACCCCTGTGTGGTCCCAGGGCAGGACCTCAGCTCTCAGCGTGCAGCCATGAATACGAAGCATGCCAAGCACTGCCTTCAAAGGGCAGCCAAAAGCCGCGGCAGGAGAGCGGTGCCTGCCCCGCAGCAGCACGCTGAGGCTCTCCCCAGGCTGCCACACGCTGGGGCAGCTCTTCTGACTGCTCCCAGCCGCGGGCAAAGCTCAGGCACGAGCAACAGAGCAGCACGCCTGGCCGGCAGCACACGCCGTACCCATCCCAAGCCTGGCTGGGAGGGAAAGGGAGCGCCTTCCCCTCCCCTGCTGTCGCCGGGATTCAGCGAGGGGATTTGTGGTGGAGCCTTTGCATGCGGCGCTGTTGCACACTGCAGGAGGAGCGCAGCACGCGCTGACACAGATGAAATAATTCCCCAAAAGCCCAGGCTTTGCAGTACAAAACAGATTCCCCGCACGCCCCCCAGAACGTTACCGCCTCTTCAGTGAAGGTGGGAGCCTGGCTGATTTCTCTGTTTAAAGGCATTTCTAATGCTTCCCTCTGATCTAGTTTTCTCTCCTGTAATCAGCGAGAGTGAGACCTTGGGGTTTTTCTGGAAATCCAATCAGAGGCTCCTCTGCACCTTCAAACACCCCGTTAGACGTGGAAGCCCTCCCTGCCCGCTTACACCGCACAGCAGCCACTGGGGAGCGATTCCTTACAAAAGCCTTGGCAGCACCCAGCAGCAGGAAAGCCTTTTTATTCTGGCCGGAGCTTTAAAGCGCTGCGATAACACCAGCAGCACGCTAAGGCCAGAGCATTCCTCTCCTCGGTTTTCAGTGCTCATCCTGGTGCTTTTGATGAACAGCCCCGGAGGCAGCAGAAACTTCCCCACAGGAGGGTGGCACGGGGCACGGGGGCTCGGGAAAGCAGCCCTGGGGGCTGGAGGAGCCAGGATCCCCCCGCAGCAGCGGGTGGAGAAGGTGCCCAGCAGCAGCCAGCATCAGTAGGGCTGCGCACAGCTAGCGCCAGCACTGAAGAGAAACAAGAGGCTATTAAACCGCTAGCAGAGCCCGTGGGGAAAGAGCCTCGCTGGTTCAAGATACACAGAGGGATTTTAAAACCCAGGCTTAGGAATAAAAAAGCAAAAAAAAAGAGGTTGCCGGGAGGCAGTGCCTTTCAAGAAACCTGCAATGGAGTGACCACCTGAGGTTAATCCGGGCAGAGTGGGTGGCAGGCATAAGGAATTACTTGATTGCGGGGGACGGACCAGCTGAATAAGGGATTTATTTGTGAGAAGGGCAGAAAAGGAGGGTTAGGGGAGCATGCAACTTGGTGGCGGAGCCTTTTCACAGCGAGCGGCTCACCGCAGTTTCTAATGAGCGGAGGGAGGCTCAAGCTGACTGCCTTTTTAAAGCCATTTTGATAACGCCGGCCGCGCTGCAGCCAGCTATTTGTCTGCGCCTGCTGGCAGGGACAGCAAGTCGCTACCCAGCATAATCCCCCGGCCCCGTCAGCTCATTCAGAGGTGTCAGCCCCAGCGTCTAAAAAGGCCCGGACAGCATCCCGGCAGCCAGCTATTTCAATGCCTCGCGCTCTTTTGTGCTCTTTCTCTCCTTCTGCCCTCTCCTCACCCTGTTCTTTCCTCCCACCCGGGCTCTGGGGGAGGCTGCTCGCCCGCGGCTGGGGATCCCCGGGTGACCTTCGCGTGGCCTCGCTGCCAGTTCACTGAGCTGCCCTTCCCCATCAGCATCACCGCCAGCACCGCGCTCCAGATTAGTTATGGGGGGGCAGAGCGCCGGGGGGGCACGGGGAGGGAGGCCTGACCCCCCCCCCCCCCGGGGATATTTTAGGAGGTTTGCCCACGCGTTTGCATTGATGGGGATGTGTGGGAATGCCTGCTTCTCTGGGGATTTTGATGAGAGGAGAGTCTGTCTTAAAAGAGCAGAAAAACACCGCAGCGCAATGAAGCGCAGTCCTGAGCTCGCCGCCCCAGCCAAGCCCTCTCGGCCAGAAAATCGGTGAGCCTTTAAAGCAGCACATCCGCAGACCTGCGCCGCTTCCCTCCCGGCTCTTTGGGGAGCTTCAGTTGCTCCTCCGAGGCTGAATCATCCATAGGTCCTCCTGATCACTCGCAACCTCAACAATCCCACGGCCACGGCTGGTGTCCCCGCTCACACACAGCCCCGTGTCACCGGGAGCTGCTGGTGGGACAAGAGATCCTGGAGCAAACCCCTGCGGGCACGGGGACATCGCCTGTCTCTCCCTCAGGGCCACAGATGACAAGGCTGCTTGTGCTCTGCCGGAAACCCTGATGCTGGATCGCGTCAGGGTGGGTGGACGCTGGTATGACAGGAGGCTGTTTTTATTAGATGCTTTTATTAATTATTATTTATACTGCTGTCACTTCTTCTCCCGGGAGTTTCTGCAGCCTCGCCTTTGGGTACGAGCTGCCATCTCGGGGCAAGGTGACTGCAATCTGCCCCGCAGGCTCGAGGCGGGGTGGCGGGCAGGACAGCGGTGGCCTGGGCAATTTGTGCTGCTCAAGGCCTGGCTGCTGATGCCGACAGCTCTGTCTAAAATCTTGGTGTGGATTCAGTGCCTTTCAGCCCTGTTCGCAGCCAGGGAGAAAAGCGCAGCTGCTGCTGAGCCAGGCAAGAGACCTCGCGGGGGAATTGCCAACGTCACCGAGCTCACTCCACGTGGCTAGAAATAAGCCTCCCCGACAGATGCTGGGTCCCCAGCGTTTTTCCCTGCGTGAACTTTGGCCGCTGTTAACATCCCGGATTACTGGGGGTCTAGCTGGAAGGCAGCAGATGCTCCATGAGCGGCACCAGCAGCCCCTCGCCCTCCCGTCACCTCCCAGGGACACTGCCTGCACGTGAGCCAGCTGACAGCGAGGGTTTGGACGAGGGGCAGACGGCCCCCTCCTGAAAAAAACAACAACACCCTGCCACCACCTCTCATTAACAACGTCCCGCTCCTGTGGTTATTTTTAAAATGAGGCGGAAAAAAAAAAAAAAAAAAAAAAAAACAGGCTGAAGTTACGTGTTTATCCATGCGGCTGTGGAGAATAACATCGTAAAAATAACAAGCAAGCTTGTTCCTCTGGTCGTGCCTCCCTCCCTCTCGGTGAAAGATCCTCACTTCAAAGGGAAAATGTGAGTCCCACCCCCTCTCCCCCCCTTCTGCATTATTTTTTCCCCTGAAAATGTTTTTCCTCCGCGTTTCCAAAGCATTGCCCAATTAATTACTTCTAGACAGCGTCTCGCAGCACGGCTGAGCAATAACGAACAGATCCTTGTGGCTCACATGCTGGTGGCTTAAAAAAAAAAAAAGACTTTTAATCAGCCGAATGAGCACAGGGGCAAAGCCTATTGAACTCGAGCGTGGCAGAGAGCCCCGAGCAGCACCAGGAGCAGAGCGTGGCTGCTCGGTGCTCGCTCTGGCCGGCGGCAGGAGCCTTCTCCAGGCAGACCCCTGGAAGAGAACTGGCAGGGAGCCACCTCGTGCACGCCGCAGCCGATCCCAGGCTGCTCGTCAGGCAGTGAAAGGGTTTGTGAAATGTTACGGCTCCGTCCCTCTCCCTTTTAAAACCCCGTGTCTCAACCTGAGTGACTCCGCTGAAAGCGGTCGGCACACGCTCCCCCTCCTCCACCAGCGCAAGGAAAGGTGCAGCAAAACTTCAGCTCTACCGCCAAAAGCCATGAAGCAGAGGTTGTGCTTGCCCTCCGGCGTCCCTGCTGCTTTCTCATTACAAACATTTTGGGACCGGCACTATCTTTTTACTCTCCGTACAGTATTAAAACACGGAGATCATCCGCATGCTTGCAATTTGCTACCGCAGCCTGGGTAACATAGGAGTAAGAGCAACCCCCGCTCCATCTTCTGGTCCTGTTCCTAAACAGGATGGATGGGGACTTTGGGGAAGCGCACAGCTCTCTGTTCCTACGTTCCCTTGAGGTCTCTGACATTAAGATCTTTCAACATCTCCTCGCTACACCCTTCAAGCGCCTTTTCTCCTAGCCAGAACCTGCCACCAGGAACCACAACCTGCCTCTCTATGCCTCTCTCTCTCGCTGCAGAGCTTTCTTTAAATATATTTATATTTACATATATTAACTGTGTACAGTTAAGGCCCAACCTGCTAATATTCTGGCAATTAGCAACATGCCTCTCACACAGAAAATGCCTCAAAGCGCTGGGCAATTTTACTTACAGATTGCATCTTCCTTAATCTGATCAGTGAAATAATATTTACCGTACCGGGTTAGTAGGAGTCCTGTACTTGGGGTGAACGCTGGGAAATCTTTAGCAAAGACGTTCTCCTGCCTTGCTAAAATTTCAAAACTCTGCAAGCATCGACCTGTGTGGGGGTTGAAGATGACCAGCTTGTGATGATGCTGGTACATTTTCCTCCTCTCAAAATTTTGGTAAACTTTGCAGGCAGGCTCAGAAAAAAAATATAAAGATAAATAAATAAATAAAATTGCAGCTGGCTCCCCCAATCACCAGTGAATCACCTGGCCCACACATCAAGCATTGCCTCCTCCGGGGTGGAATGCAGCATGAGACGTTATGCAAAATTAATTAGCGTTGCACAGGTTGATTAAAAGCACTTCCTAGGGCAACGGGCTGTTTCTGCCTCTCCTTTTTTTTTTTTTTTTTTTTTTTTTTTTATTTTTTAACATAAAAGGAAAGGAAGAGAAGGGACGAGATTCCCCCATAACGGATGACTACAGGGCAAACCTGTGACTTTGCTGAGAGGTTCGTACCAGCTGCTGTTCAAGTTAATCTCCACCTGAGAAATGACAGCTCTCCTGAAAGCCACAGCCATTGCACTCCAAGAGCTTGCTGTGATCTCTCCCGTGTTTCTTGTGCTGGCTGGGCACGACAATACCGAGCCTTGGACCTGCAGTTTGAGAAATTGCTTGTATTGTCTGCGAGTGTCACAATCACATTATCATCCATAATTGGCAGCGTACGGAGGAACTTCTTGGGGCCCTGCTAGCTCGCCACGGTCTGTCCCTTCTGCTTTGACCATGCTTGATGCAATACAGGGAGTACAAATGTGGCTTGATTGGATTAAGGCCTTTATTTCTGTGAGGTCTGCTACTATTCACAGAGGTTTAATTAAATTTGTGACCTCCAAGTGGTCAGGGAATGTGTGTCAAGTCAGACACATAGGAAAACTGATTCACGCGGCAAAAGCTTTGGAGGTGGACAATGCCATTTGAATCTTTCATGACACTGACACCAAGAGAAGGGCCGCAACGGCAGCACCAAGCGATGCGGTTCTCCTGGGCCTCCGGGCTTGAGCTGGGAAGGTGCAGGAGCCCAGGTGAAGGCCAGAGCTTCTCTTTTTATCCCCACCTGATCCTTACTGCTTAGCTGGTCCTGTTCCACCAGGGCAGCGAAACCGAGAGGCTCCATCCGTGGCGGAGCCCGTGGAGCAACAGCACCGGAGGGCTCGGTGCTGCCTCTCCCTTCTCTCACACCCCAACCCACAGACGCTGGCAACTCCCTCCCTTAGGGCAATCCCTTCCCTTATCCACTCCCCTCTCGGTCTCCTGCCTGCCCCACACACACAGCAGCACAGCAGAGCCTGCAGCGGAGACATGCCAAGCGGGGCACAAGATGAGTCTTGTGGACTTTGTGGCCTCGGCACCCGGTAATTTTGGTAGCGCTGGGTAGGGCAGACTTTTCAGATTTTAAAGCTGCCGTGGTCTAATTGCATTGACCATTGCTACTTCAGACCCTGTGGGAACACTGGCGCGAGTCTGCCAGGACATTCCAGTCCTCTGCTTTGGGATATGGGTATGTAGCCCCTGTATCACCTCTGGAAGGAAACTTTTCATCTGGTTTTCCAGGGAGCTGGTGGGCCCTCTGTTGTTGTTCATGGCAGCCTGGTGGGGACTTTTCCAGAAATGTGGATTTCACTGAAAGCAGAGATAGAAGAGGGCTGTTGCCTCCAGGGAGATGGCAAGAAGCCTCTCCTTTCTGAGAAAACATCTCTTTGAATGCAAGAGAGGAGAGAAAGCAGATGTGTCTCAGGGATGAAGGGGGGGAGACGGTACCTCAGCATGTCTTTAGCCTAAAAGGATAGACGAGTTGTAGGCAGAGGTAGTATCTTTCATTAAACAAAGCAGTGCAGCTGGGAAAACAGCACGGCTTTTGGGAATGCAAGCCCTTCG